TATTCATTTAATTGACAATTTTAATGTAAAATAAAGTCAAATGAAAGCAAAAAAATTTTCAATTTTTTTTTTAACAATGTAAACAAATTATATCCTCAATGGTAAGAAATTTTATTCCTTTAATTGATAATTTTCATGAAAAATAAAATCAAACGAACACAAAAAGATAAGAAAATTTCAACATTTTTCAGGTGAAAATTAATGACAATCAAATACAATTAGTCATTGTTTGGTACACATTAAAATTTTCATTTTCATTCTTCTACTCATTTTCAACCACACATCTTTTAATAAAATAATAATTTTCATCACATCAATAACTTTTTCTTCCTTTTTAATCATACATTCTCCATCAATTTACTATTTCAAAATACATTCTTTCAAAATAATGTGGATCAAACACACCCTTAATTGACAATTCTAACTAAAATAAGTTCTAGCCAATTTAATTCTTTGCAATTCGTTTTCTTTTCATCAAATTTCATATTTGAATCAAAAGGACCCGAGGGACTTGTACACTTGGTAATCGAATATTATGAAACTGAACAAATAAACATTAAAAATCATATGCTTGAATAGGGCACGAATAATTCCTATGGCAAGCTAACTTGAAATCTTCAGCGCAACGTAATCGCATTTTTTGCATTACCATTCGTATAATCTCCTAGCTCTCATTTGTTTGGCAGTGTCTAAATCTTGATATGCTATTTTGAGTATGTTTGAACAAGTTTAAAATTCAATTAAAATTGAAAATATAGTCGTTATTGAATCTCACCTGTCTAATAAAAGTCAATAATAAAGATTAATTTTACAATTTTAATCAAATTTTAATCTCTACCGAATACGTCCTAATCCAATTTTAATGATACCAAACATTTTTCATCTTCCAATGGACTTATATAACTTGGCCCAGTTAACGATCCAAGTTGGGCTTGCTCCAAATTTCATTCTCCATGGTTTTACTTTTACGAGTCAATTTGGCTTCGAAAAACTAATTAAGACTCCGTTTGATGTAAAAAAGTTTAGAATAAAAATTTTAAAAACTAATTTTTTTTTAAAGGGAAAGTGTGGTTTTCAAAATGTGCTATTGAAATCATCTAGGACAGCCATTGCTATTAATCATTGTTATTGGAAATTTAAACTTGGTGATAGTTTAATCTATGATTTATATTTCATTTTACATTTTAGTGAATTTACATATAGATGAAATCATT